CCCCTCTGCCCCAGCCGGGGCTTCCCCGACCGCCTGACTGCGAGGGAGGGCTCGCTTTGTATTTCCCACTCAGGCAGGGGAAGGAAGAAAAAAAAAAAACAAAAAAACCCCCCAAAAACCAAAAACCCAAACATTAAAATCCCCGGCCACCCCCGCAGGGCTCGCGGCCGCAGGGCAGCGTGGAAAGTTCAGCTCCTTCATGGGTTGACGATTCCCGTCTCACCGTCCCTGGAGGTATTTAAAAGACGAGGTGCTTAGGGACATGGTTTAGTGCTGGGATGGCAGCGTTAGGTTAACGGTTGAACTTGATGATCTTAAAGGTCTTTTCCAACCTGAACAATTCTATGGTTCTACGAGGGAAGCAGCACAGCAGAGCCGCGCCAGCGAGGGGTTCAGCGGGGCCCAGCCACCTCTGCTCGCTGTGCAGCACAGCTCCCTCGGCTGCGGAGGTCCTCAGCGATGCTCCAGCACCACAGCACCCTCCTGCTCTCGGTTCCGCTGAGATCTGGATGCCCCGCGGCCACCTGCTACCTCCACAGGCAGATGCTGTCTAGGCACCGCAAGATACATGTTCAATTTAAGGCTAATTAAGCCAGCTGAACCAGGCAAAGTTGTTAACGGCTCAGAAGACATGTCATCTTTGTCAAATGTGTTCAGGACACCCAGCCTCTCCTTATTGTTCAGACAAAGAGAAACAGTGCTTTTAATTTGGCCCCAGGATTTAGGCAGCATGGAGGAAACAAAGCGAGAAAGGGCAGGCGAGGTCTCGAGCAGCACAGCAGAAGCCAGAGCAGCCACGCAAGTGAAGGTTTTCAGAAAGATGCGGGCAACACAAAAGCACAAATATTCCTGAAATGGTCACAGTCTGCTCTGGAATAACAACAGTGCTGATCTTATTACAAGTTCTGGTGCTGTATGGCGGACTTACTTCTTGTAATCAGGAGAGAAGACAGCAGCCTCTGACTCAAGCCAGGAGCACATGGACTCAGTGTAGGCAGAAAGGCGGCTCTTCTCGTTGGAGCGCTGAAAATGATCCCTGGAAGGAGACAAGTTCAAAGGCACAATGCTACATCCCCAGCCCCAGCCCCAGCTTGTCTCCCAGGGGCCTTTCTCCTAAAAAAGCCGAAGTGACAGCGCTGACTGCAGTGACAGCTGGAAGCCGCACAAGACGTCTCTGCAAGTGCCAGAATAAATCGCCTGTTTTCTCAGGCTTCTGAGACCCCGTGTTCTCAGCACGGACCAGACAAGATGCTGTATAGGAAAAGCTCCGTATACATTAGAGGAAACTGGGAGAACCTCGTCCTCTTGAAGAGTCCAACAAACTCAGAGGAATTGAGCTGCCAGAAGGGACTAGGGAGTCTCACAAATGCTTGAGATCTCTGGCTACTGAGCCAGAAAACAAATTATGTTCCAGGTTCGATGTGTTTTGAATGCCATTGCTAGAAAAGACTTAATTAACATCAAAGGTCCCAGGACCTGGAAAGATGCAAATGGTTTCTGTTAAATTATGGTTTCTGTTAAAAATACAGCATTTTAGCTTTCATGATAACTAAGTAAAGCCTGAAGAGCACGTGATCTCTATACATCCACATTCTTAGAGAACAGGGGATGAATAGAAAGCATTCAATAATAAAGAAAAGTCACAAGCTGCAGGGCCATTTCATGGCTGGGGGGGTTGGAACATGCAACCTGCCAGCCCACAGTGCTTCCTGCTGTTGGCCACCATCTTCTGGTCCACAGCAAGCTCCCATTAAAAACAGCGCCTTAGCTGTAGGGTTGCAAAGGAAACATTCACACTGGGGACCGATGATAAATCAGTGTGATGATAACTGCTGAAGCTGCAAGGAATCTGGAAGAGCAGCTAGCAGAGCAGCGGGAAACACCGAGTTAATCTGAGCGGGGCGGCAAACACAAGCCCGGCAGTGCCAATGCAAACATTAACCTTTAGCTATCTTGCAGCTGATCAAGTGCACCAATAAAGAGCATGAAGTGTCATCCCATATGCATCTGCACAAGCTACTCTGACATTTCAGCCTGTTGTCACAACCACGCAGACATGGAGCTTCAGCGGAGCCCAGCTGGACAGTTCAGCCTGACCCTGCTAACAAAAACTGGGAGCAGAACAGGCAGGCAGCGCGGTACTGTCAGGGTGCTGGAGAGGAGAGCGGAGAGTCCTCCCTAGACCACAGGGTACTGAGGAGCAGACTTGAAGCACATATACACAGTCAGAGCAGCAGCTGAGGCCGAACATTTGCCTAGCAACATTTTGAGTATATCGAGAGCTGGCTGATCAGGGAGGAAGAGAAGCACCACAAAAGCAAGGTATTGTAGGTAAGAGTGATCAGCTCCTAAAGCTTGCTTGGGATATGGGACACCTTTCCTTGGGTCCAGGCAGGCACCATACCAGCTATCACATCCCAGAGCAACAGTGAAATGCAGGCTCAGCCGTTGTTCCTGACAGCAAGGGTATCTCAGACAATAGCAGTGAGGCCATGACGGCAAGGGAAAATGGTGGCTCTTGTCCAAAGTCTTCCCCCCGCACCTTCCGTCCATGCTACAGATGGTGGCTGCATGCTGAGCGCTCATAGATGAGGCACAAATGTCAGATCAGACCAGACAACAGCACCAATGAGAGTGCAGAGCATGAAATGTCTTCTCCCTCCATGGAACATGTGCGTACCCCAGCTGATGAAAGGTTTCTCCCTTAATAAAACCACCAGTTTTTTTCCCTGTAACAGCACAGATCTTCCAGCACAGGAGGAGGGAGCTGTAAGAAGAGACTTGAGGTGGGAGCCAGGGAGAGTGCTGGGGTAAGAAACACCTGAACTGCCATTCACGTGAGTTAAAAGAGCACAGGCTTGGGAGGCACAGTGCTCTTCCCTGCCTGCAAAGCAGCTTCTGCCTCACAGCTGTGTGGCTGTCAGGGG